TCATCAGTACAACATGTACATGGTGCTTGTAGGTGCCATCTTCATTTCTTGGCCAAAGATGTGACAATGAGAACAGGTGTATGGGTAGTGCGTCTATATCTCCAGAAGTCACCACAGAAAGAACTTCATCACCCGAATTCAGATTATTTTTCACTTCAAGTATCCAATCCATTTGCGCCATCTCTGCTTCACCTTTCCTCTGTTGAATATGATCAAGTGTACTTGTAATCGGTGACTTGTCATGAGAAAATATTGTCCTCGTTGGTACGGCATATTTTGTACAGCATTGACAGGGAACTAGATTTCCACAACTGCAACCATCTACTACCCACTCACTGTCTATGTCCAAGATGAAATCCTGATGAATGTCCAAGATTGCAATATTTCCAGCAAGAAATGAGCTGATAGCAGCCTTCCCAGTATCAGTAGAGGTCACAGCAGTCTTGTCAAATGTTGAACTGCTTATTATTTCTGTTCCTCTTTTAAGGTGTGAAATTGACTGACCATGAGTCTTGCTTCTCTTGAGTCTTGTGGCTGCCTTAAAGTCATCTGGAGTGAATGAGTACTTTTCTTCACTTGGGACCATGTGTTTAGCTTTGGGTAGTTTGTTCTTGATGGATTTTATTATGCTATCCTCAACAGCTTTCACATACTCATATCCTGACTTTGCTACCGTTTTGAATTTGACCCCAGCCAGTTCCACCACAGAATGGCTTACCATTTGGAGTTTATGCACCGGTAGGTTTTTCAAGTCAAATTCAGCAAGATCATATTTTCGCAGGCAGTCTTCATTCCCCATGCTCTCTTCTTGTCCACATGCGTTAGCAACTACATTTATGAATGCCTTTTTCATTCCCCTTGATTTTTGCACGGCTGATTTGGAACCATCTGGTTTTACTACTGCTTGGCAAGTGTTCATATCTGATGAGAGTCCTTCTGCAATGCCAATCAATGTCTTGAGCTTTCTCTTCCTCTTGACTTCCTTTTCATCTTGCGGCATGATCTGTGGCTTACAGGACATTCTTCTGATTGTAACACCTTTTGTCACCTTTGCCTTCTTGATCAATTCTTTTGCATTTTGTGAGGTTTTGAAGTGATGTAGCGGATCAATTGTTTGATCATGAAAGATCTTGTTCTGTACATGTCTGTCAATTAGGTATCTTCCCACATCAAATGTTTTCCTATCCAATACTGCGTCAGGCAAAGTAGACCTTTCTTTGGAATACACATTGATGGGTATGTCACACTTCTGATGATCAAGTCCACCCTGCCTAAGAATAAGGAGGGCTGTTGGGTATATCTTCTTCAGGTCTTGATCTGATATACCCCATGTTCTGCTTTTGTGAACACCTGCTGGATGAGGTAGCGACAAATCATCATCTCTGTAACTTTCCATTTCCTGGTATCTGTCAACAAGAGACATTCTTGGCAATACAGATGTCACAGTGGCTCTGGGACGAAAACCTTTCAGTGCATCTCTATGGTCCATCTCTCTGTGAGTGTCCAGTGCAAAATTTGTTGAACTGCCTTTGTATGGGCAGCTAAAGAACGTCTTCTTGAATTTCTGATGGAAGTAGCCAGCAGTGTAGTGCTCTAGTAGAAGCTCACAACAGAAAGTACCATATGAGGATGCTCCATTCAAAAACGCAAATGGTAGGGAAGCTTTCACCGTGCCTAATAATAGGTCATACCCAGTCTCACCTCCAACCCTCTCTGCCACAGACAGTGCCAATATTTCATCACAATGGGTCATTATATCATGATGAAGTGAAAACGTTGCATTCTGAGTGCACCCATCCTTGATGAAATGTTCATACTCATGTTCCCATCTCTCATTGGATACTCGATTGGTCTCTTTGAGCCACTCAAAGAGACCACTGGAGTCTTCTGGGTGAAGTACCTCAAGAAATTTCATCACAAATGCAAGATGTAGTGCATATGAGATCCTCCTGATATTGTGTGTGGCATCTTCTATGTTCTCGGTGCTAACAAGATTTTCCCAGTCTGTGCTTGTGTCTTGCATATATCCAAGTAAGTGATACAGACCAGCATCTTTGTAAGCAGTTAGTAGATTTCCAATCTTGAACTTCCGGAGATGGAGGAGGGGAAATTCAGGTAAATACCTCTTGTACTTTTCATCCTGTGTCATCAGCTTAAACAAGCATCTCCCAATTTTGTTATCAGGGGCAAACAGAATGCGACAGGTATCGGAATAGTTTCCAGCTTTCATGAGAATGTCTTCTAAAATTTCCTTCAACTTCTTTATGTCGTCAACTCTGCCTATGGCTGGTGGTGGGTGGCGCACCAGTAAGGGTGGAGGATTGAACGTTTCAAATCCCATCGTTGAGAACTGGTGTTCATGATCATTAGATGTTTCCTGATCAAAAGTGTCAACAAGATCGTCTGACGATTGATCAGATGGAGATGGAACCATTGTGTCGAGAGGACAACATCCAAGTGACAGGGCACCAATGCTTTCATTGAGAGCAGTTAAGTCTTCATTAGGGGATTCATGGTCACCAGAAGAGGATAACTGAGAGAAGATTTCCTCACCAGATGATGCTTCAGAGAATGATGAGTCCATGAGACCTTCTTGCTTGTCAATTTGAAACAGAATGGTATCCAGTTCTCTGTCATGATCTGGTTTCCAGTCGCTTGGTATTTCTTCATCAGACTCATCTTTGTCCAAATTGGATGCTTCAAATGTGATAGAGTCATTATCCTCATTTTTCTCCAGTGCGGTTTTCAACAAGGGGAATACTTGAGATGCGTCAATGTTTCTCCAAAGTTTAAAATGGCCCCATGTTAAAGCAGAATTGAGTCTCTTTCGTTGTTGATCCTCGTCCACTGTAAGCTCATGAAATACATATTGCCTTTCACATGATTTCAGTATGGTGGTATCTTTGCATTTACAAGCATTTGATCCATCACAAATGTTTTCATCGTGCCAGTTCTGAGTGATGGCAGCATTCTTCGGAATTCCCATGAGAGTCATTGGAAGAGTGCAAATTTGTGATGATCTGGACTCCCCCCTGTCTGGATCACGATGAAAGGATAGGCGCACCAAGTTGTCCAAACAGAAGATTAAGTGGCAGTCCTGGAGTGACACAGGTCTCTTGATTCCATCAATCGCCTCATATTCCAAGTCATATTTCTTCAGAAATGTGTTGTAATAACATGTATCAGCATCAGCTTGGTCCTGCAAACGACTCGTTGCTTTATTGAAGGAACTTGTCAGTCCGCCTTGAGAGGTCAAGTTGAATACTTTTGTGACACTGTGATACGATGCTGAGAGTTCATCTGTGTTTACTTCCTGTTGAATGCCAATGTAGTTCCGATTGTTTGTGTTCAACAGAGCATCAAAGAGCAGGTGAAGTTTTTCAAGTTTCCCCATCAAATACTTATTTTTGTTTTGAGATTTCCTCAATGTGGTTCCATTGAGAAATGTTTCCAACAGGATTTGGAATGGTAGTGGGACGTGAAATTTCCATTCTCTCAGCAAATCAAAGGTCTTGAAATCCAAAGGATCCTCATGACTCAGAACAGGTGTACATGTTGGACAAGATGTGCTTTCAACATCCAGGATGTGTTCAGAGTCAGAAATGAAATATAGTCTTGTACTTGATATTTCACCCTTCCTTATACTGTCTCGTAGGTGGAAACGTCTGCTGATCACATCTTCATTAATATCTGAATGTCCAAGCATGGCTATTTCCACACAGTTGTCCTTGTGTACAGTGGCAAGTGTATATTTGATGAGAACACACACATCATCACAGTTAAGCAAGCTTTGTTCTTTGCCTGCATCTAGGAACACATGGATTCCACGGGGATGATTTTGGGTACATTTGATCACAATCCAGGCAGATGACATGTTTGAAGAATCCTGGCAAGAGTTTTTCTAATTCTTCTTTAATGTTTTCATCCACCAGTCTGGGAAGATGTCTTGATTCTGTCAATAACAAAGTGCCTTCTGCTTTGACTGCAGCTGCCCTCCTGTCTAAATTTAATTTCATTGTGTTTTTAGCACAGTAGATGAGACGTGGTTGTAATGCGTACAGATTTTGGCATTGGTGGAAAATGTCCCATCTTCTTCTCACTGAGGGATCACTGTAAAAGCCAACTTCCTGCAGTCTAGTATCGTCTTCAACAGTTTTCCAGAAATGGTTTTCAAAGATCTTGATCTTTTCCCATTCTTCGTTGGAGAAATGTGTTTGATACGATGTAAACAAACATGGGATGTCAATCAAATGAGTATTGTTTGTCAGAAGGTTTTCAAGAGTATCAAGTCTGAATACAGACTTGCTGATCATTCTGTAAAATTCGTATAATGAATCGGATGGAGTATCATCTTCATCGAGTGCACATGTCTGTAGTTCGTTCACTACACGTTTACAGATGTTGAGGTCCTCAACATGGTTCAGGCAAAATCTCAAAAATGAAACAAAACTTATTTGGCGTTCCTCGAGTACAGTTTCTGACCCATCATCATCCAAATACTTTTGGTTAACAGATCGCACACTTAATGAATGGGACTGTATTTTCCTCTGTATGTTGAAGCGGCGTATGTCTCTCAACTTATCATGAACTGTGTGGTGGATTTTCAGAAAAGCAAGGCAGCTTTCTAGGCTTATCCATTTTGATCCTTTGTTATCAGTAACAATTTTGAACGTATCCCAGAGATGTTGTCTCATCTGCAATAATATTGAAAATTCATCTTAGCACATCTATACATGGTATAATAAGTGACTGCATGAATGTGTTAATAGTTTGGGGAAATTGGGGCTGCATTGGGGGAAATAGGGTGTGGTGTGGTGTGCATTTGGGATAAGAAATAATAATAATATTAATAATATTAATGTGTACTTTTATTGCGCTTGCCTCCATACACTCAGTGCATGTATGAAATGAGTGACATCGTTCAGCGTAATACTGCAACTCAAGCCCCGCCCATCCTATTATCAGTCAACCAGTAAACACTAGTCCATGACGGGCGGTGCGTAAAGTATATTTCTGTTTAAGGAAACATAAACGCAAACAATGCCAAGGAAATTCAATTTCTTTTATGTAATAGTATGTACAGTTACAATTACTTTGATAGAAAAAAACCCAACTTGTATACGTCCACCCCACATGTAGAAATATGCATAACAAACGTATTCACATTAAACAAAGCGTATTTACTTAACGTTTTCTGTATCCTGAACAATAAACATACCAAAGAAGATGCATCTCAAGTGTTATATATAGAAAGATCTTCATTTAAAACATTCATAATCGGCAATGCATTGTGTCATGACTTGGTGAATACTCAGTTCTGATCGTGATTGGCTAATGACAGGGTTCCAGGCCAAGAAACCTGTACATTCACATTTCCTTAACTGTATATATCAAATGCACCCTTCTGCTAAGCTTACAGAATTGAAAATTGGAAAGCATATTCGTTCCTCAAATACCGCGTCATTTCACGACGGAACTCCTGAAAAGAGGAATACAGCACACTTATTTCTATCAGATTTGAGCATGTGTGTACAATGGGTCTCCTTAATTCCCCAGCCAGTTTTGTGAAGGATACCTTAATTCCCCCTACTGGCATGTGGATTGACCCTGTAACGAAATGCAGAAATGAGAGGAGGTCTTCCTGATCTAGTCCTCTCACAAACTGTTTCAAGAAGTACAGAACCTTTTCCTCCTCTGGTCTGACGAATTCCTCCTCCGACAATATACAGTCTACCACCTTCTTAGGGGTAGGACGCTGGGAGATGATGAGAGCTGAAATTTCGTCAATCGTTAACTGCGCCCAGAATGATGACAAGTGTAAACTTGGAATACCACGTCGCATGGCATCGTAAAGAGGACGTGGGGTATCACACAACTGCTTCTTGGCAATCTCTGCGATTTGATCTGAGATTTCCCTACAGTTTGGCATTTCAAAGTAGCCATTGATACCAAAGAAAGTTACCAGTGAGTCCATTTCTTTATCATCAAGACTTTGGAAACGTGCCATAGCCTTTTGAAGTAGATGTTGCTCTGCTGTGGTACAAAAGAGCTAAAAATCTTCTAAAAGGCATTGTCTGTCCACCTCTGATGCAAAGACAATTGCTATGAGAGAACTTCTCGCAATCATAGATGGCAGACATCTTGTCAGTGCCACCGAGTGAGTTAGGATGGAACCGATTGATTGATACTTCCACATCTCCTTTCTAAGTCTGTGCAAGGGTAGGCCTGGGACCTTACAGTGCTCTCCAATGAAATAGGATTCAAACACTCCTGTCCAAAATGCCGTGAACATATCTTTGCTCAACCCGCCAAAATCATCTCCCCATTCACCAGTGAAAGAAACATTGAGTCGTGATTGTAGAATTGAGGGATCATCCTTGTAATGTTGCAATAACGACTCCACCACATCTGAACGTGAAACTGACATCTCCTTCTCTGCCTCCAGATCGAGTAAGCTTTCGAGAGTCGACAGTGCTGAAAAATGTTTTTGGAAATATTCATTAAAATCACAAATGTCAATGCGAAGCTAGGTTTATGATGATCGAAGTGCATGCTATGACTGAACACATCCGTGAGAGTGATGATCGTAGTGCATGCTATGACTGAACACATCTGTGAGAGTGATGATCGAAGTGCATGATCCCATCAGGCGCCAGGTCTCCAATAGAGGTTAGGTCCATCATTTGATAATTTGTATGACTTAAGACTTTGGGATTCTTTGCTGCTGTGCCAGTATTAAACGGAATAGACTCCGGGTCAACGGCTTAGACGAAATTAATATACGCCCGGGCGTCTAATAGAGGAAATACGTTACAAAGGAATAGTTTATTCTCACTCACCATATTCCAGATGGGCGGTAACTTCAACTGATATTGCACTGTCGTTTTCTCCTTCAGCTATAAACCAAGATTTTTTCTCAAGTAAATATTCATCTATGTCGTAATGAAAAAGCGTTTCAAGTGCATATTCAGTATGAAATAATAAAGGTGCCGCATATCCGTTCTATACAGAGGCATTCTAATGATGTTGTGTATTAGATAAAAGCTACAAAACCCTTTCATAAGAATACTCAAAGCTAAAAAGCAGTGTCCACTGTACGATGCCGACTATTCCATAAAGCATTTATTTTAAGAAGTCATAGTGTGTCCTTTGCCGCCAACTGTTAAAGTGGGCATGTGAACATAACCGTTCTGAAGGCCCGTGACGACCGGTTGTCTTAAAACCTTTGTAACCGACCTTACTAGATAAACTAGTCATGAGGTCGGTTTGTAATAATAAACTTATTTCTTCAGATTTGGGTTTACCTGTCATGGGGAATTGCACTGTTGGAGTCCCCGCCATCACCCATCCCGTTTCTTGTGTTTGCTGCAAGGCCTGGTCGTTCCGTGGCTGTTGCAGTAAAGCCTGGGTGCTCGGTGGCTGTTGCAGTAAAGCCTGGTCGCTCGGTGGCTGTTGCAGTAAAGCCTGGTCGTTCGGTGGATGTTGCAGTAAAGCCTGATCGTTCGGTGGTTCTTGCAATAAAGCTGGTTCTGATTGTTCCATCTCATTCTGTCAAAATGAAATGAAACAACCTTGGCATTGTACCACAAAAAAATATTCACGATGCGATTTATTAGAAGATACTTCACTGAAATAGGTCTCATGGCTTCTTACCATTGGGATGTCCCTGTTTGGGACAATAATAATTTTGGCCTTTCCAACTTTGCGCTCGAGATCAAGGAGGGATTGCGGATCAATTTGTGTGACTCTCCTGCCCTTGTCGCAACGGGCATACGTAAAGCCCACAAGGGACAGCGGGACTCTGGGAAACAGCGCATAAATGTGGGCTTCCAATGTTCCCAGAGTCCAAGTCCTCAAGAGGCGTATTGTTCCTGAATCCTGAAAAACAGCTTCCCCTGAAACAAACGTTCACAAATGAATTAATTTCAGATTTTAATCCAGTGCATCATTATCCAGACATATCTGCTTAAATGAGAACATTCTTCAACTTAACACCTAAATACAGCCCTTTCGTCAATTTCTATTTTGAAGTCTGGATAATCGGGTGCATTATTGTATATATGATTTTATAAAATATTTTCAATTATTAACTCTTTCAACACCGTAGGCCGGTTATCCGGCCAAGAAGCATCGAGTCCCCAGACACCGCAGGCCGGTTATCCGGCCAAGCCGTAGTCACGTCAAAATAGTACTATATTTTTATGGACCTACCTGTAATATCATTCATTTATTAATTCTATCACATTTCACAATGTCTGAAATACATATTCCATTTCAATTTAACATTTTTTATCGTTAAATTAAAAAATTATTCACTATTTCCCGCGATGTTATTGAAAAAAAAAATTCTCGGACACACATTTCGACAACGGGTCCACATCGAACACGTCAAAGAGGAAAATAAAGACGTTTTAAACAAATCTTTAAATATATTATACAAAGTAATATATAAAATCAACAAAAATATATCTAAAAGTAATCAAACTTACATCTAAGTTATTATTTTCATCTTTTCGTGCGATCGCGTGTAATGTAAGTCAAATGACATCTCGGCTTTCGTCGCCTTGAATTCTCGGCTCGGACACGATGTTTAATGCAAAAATATATGCATGAAAAATCTTTGTCACAGCTCGTAACCTAGCATGATACATTCACGAAGTTCCATATTTTTAATATATATCGTGATTTCCTGCTCAAAACGTTCAGAATAACACGATTTAACAAAATTCTTTCGCAAACTTCTGTAATTTATCGAACAAGAGCTTGGTATCACAGCTATAATTTGATTGGCTGCCTTAGGTCACGTGCTCAAAATTGACCAATCACGAAACTTGTAGCAGATTTCAGCAAGAAAGCGTCATTAGAAACCAATTTTAATCCAATGAAATCGCTTGTTATAACTACGGAAAAAAACCAGTCTATGTTACGAGCGTGTAGTTGAAGGAATAAGCTTTCCAGCGATGTGTCATATGCCATTCTTCGACGAACGTGTTACTCATACGAAACCTCGAAAACGGGGGTATTTCTTCATTTTACTGAGCGGACAGTCGCTGTTATCGGGAATTGGGTGATGACAGAGACTATTTATAATTCTTTTTAAAATGATTTTCCAATAACGTAAACAATGAAAATAAAATAGAAATAGGTACGTGGATATTATGAAATAATATATTTGCCGAAAATCGTCAAGTTTTCGCTTTCTTGGTCCTTAATCTGGATGTTAACAACGTGTTAGCGTACATTTTTTATTTACAACAAATTTAATTAAGTTGTAAATGCATTATTTTAAATAATCTGAAAAACATAACTTTCATATTTATAAACCATAGGATCAGACCTTTCAAATGGTGTATAACATGTAGTAGCAAATATATTTTACAAGCAGGTATTTTCTTTGATAAATGTTGGCTTCATCTATCACACAAGAGCCTCTGGGAACTCGGTGTCCCAGCAGTAAACACTTCTGGTTGACTGGTGTTGAAAGAGTTAACACCTCTTCTGAGGGCAAATGTTTCTTAATGCAACGTGCTATGACCAATATATACCTAATAACATGTAACTTTGCATCTGACGGGTAAATTCTTTCGTGTCATTTTCTTGCAAATTGTGAAATTTAATATCCTAAACATAGCCGGTTTCTGATGTTAAAAAAAGCTTACCAAATCCGTTCCTGGTGAGAAATCTACATTCTGCTGGGGAAGGAAAGAAGTCAGGGTTACTTCTTCTCAGCAGAAAGATTTTTGTCTTCCACTCAATTCGCCTTTTCCTTCCTCTGTGCCTCCCTTGATCTGTAAAAGTTCATTAATGCTACAATATTATATATTATATAAGTTTTATTCGCTGATCATATGTTTGCAGAGTTGTAAGTTTCGTTTGGTTTTGGCTTTGAATACGTTGTGGGAAAACGTTCGAAAAACATAAATGTTTGAAGTTTCTCTAACGTTGTCAACGTTTTTAGTGACACATTACTTATACATTATTAACATAAATGATTAACACGTATTTTCTATTCGGCTGGTCTGAAGTGAAGGTTGTGCGAGAATAGCGCTCACGCGGCACTGGATCTGTCTCCGGCGATAACATTACGCAGAGATATAGAATATTAACTTTCCTATCTGATGGTGTAAATTTAACTGCAGATATTAACTCTTTCAACACCGTAGGCCGGTTATCCGGCCAAGAAGCATCGAGTCCCCAGACACCGCAGACCGGTTATCCGGCCAAGCCGTAGTCACGTCAAAATAGTATATATTTTTATGGACCTACCTGTAATGCCATTCATTTATTAAATCTATCACATTTCACAATGTCTGAAATACATATTCTATTTTAATTTAACATTTTTTATCGTTAAATTAAAAAATTATTCACTACTTCTCGCGATGTTATTGAAAATAAAATTCTCGGACACTCATTTCGACAACGGGTCCACATCGAACACGTCAAAGAGGAAAATAAAGACGTTTTAAACAAATCTTTAAATATATTATACAAAGTAAAAAATAAAATCAACAAAAACATATCTTAAAGTAATCAAACTTACATCTATATTATTATTTCCATCTTTTCATGCGATCGCGTGTAATGTAAGTCAAATGACATCTCGGCTTTCGTCGCCTTGAATTCTCGGCTCGGACACGATGTTTAATGCAAAAATATATGCATGAAAAATCTTTGTCACAGCTCGTAACCTAGCACGATACATTCACGAAGTTCCATATTTTTAATATATATCATGATTTCCTGCTCAAAACGTTCAGAATAACACGATTTAACAAAATTCTTTCGCAAACTTCTGTAATTTATCGAACACGAGCTTGGTATCACAGCTGTAATTTGATTGGCTGCCTTAGGTCACGTGCTCAAAATTGACCAATCACGAAACTTGTAGCAGATTTCAGCAAGAAAGCGTCATTAGAAACCAATTTTAATCCAATGAAATCACTTGTTATAACTACGAGAAAAAACCAGTCGATGTTACGAGCATGTAGATGAAGGAATAAGCTTTCCAGCGATGTGTCATATGCCATTCTTCGACGCACGTGTTATTCATACGAAA